GACTTTCAAGAGCTTCCCGTGATTGTTGCAGACGGTGTGGAATACGTTCTGCTTGATCAGCTATGTGACCTCATGAACAAGACAGAGGACGACAGGAATGTCATTCATGAGGCCTTGCACGAAGTCACAGAGTACGCCGTGCAGGGTCGATATCTCATTGATTTTGTGCTAGTGTCAGCAAGAGAGGAGATCATTAGTGGCAGACCATTGTGGGGGGGCTTGTTGGGTTGTGCTTTGGAGCGGCTTGGTCTTGCAACCTGCGATGTCGAGAGACAGAGAGAAAGGGAACAGGGTTGGAGGCTGATTACCAGCGAAACAAGGTTACCGGTCATTGAAGAAACCGGGGAGATATCAACAGCACAAGATATGAGTGGGACGATGGTGGTCGACGTGTCTACCATGTACACATCAACGACAGAGGACTTGGTGTATATGGACATGTGTGAGGGTTTCTTCTTAGGGGAACAACAGTTGGCAGAGCGCAGAGATGATGCAGAGCACAGAGATGATGCAGAGGAGGAGGATGAGGAAGAGTACGAGGGATCTGACGTGGAGGTGAGCGGCAGCGACGTCAACAGCGACGAAGAGGACGACGACAATGATGTGTACTACGATCTCAAGACGGCCTGTGGACAAGTAACCAAAGGTTGGGCACATGCAATCCTCAGGTTGGCAAGAGTATTTCCCGATCCGCACAACGTGCTGCGTGTGGTGTTCAAGGGGGCGACACCTGATGGCGCAATGCAGTATGCTGCAGTGACCAGCATAATGCAATCCTGCAACAAGGGAAAAAAATGGTCATATGTCGGCAAGGGATGGTTTGTTCTGGTGAACAGAGAGGCTGTGCTAGCAACATCGTTGACATGGGGACTGAACCTGAGCTGCCTCCTACATGGCGCAGTGGCCACAGCTTGGGGAGAGACTTTGCACCCCGGCCTGTCAACAGGGGACGCAATAGTAAGTGCTCGGCCACGGCACCACACACACACACACCCACACAGCACGACAGACCACGTCAGACATCAGGGATGATGCCACACATGCATAGCACATGACATTACAGTTGTTGTACAAACAACCTGTGTGGGTGTGTCTACACATAGATTGTTCAACCTGTACATCCCTCACCTTGTACATCCCTCTCTCTCCCCCTCAGTTTGAATAACCCTCGGGTTGACTACTGTGTACCATATTCGTGTTCACCGGTGTTCTCTGTCGGAGTATAGGGCCGGACTAGTCTCTCTCTCTCTCTCTCTCTCTCTCTCTCTCTCTCTCTCTCTCTCTCTCTCTCTCTCTAGTTGTAGGTTTAGTTGAACCTATATCTCCCCCACAGGTTTACGGCAGCGTGCAGACACTGCATATTTCTTTCTTTATGCAGTTCATTATTGTTACGATGTTTGTCATTCCATGTTGCTTTCTGGGGCGCTTAAGACTCATCAGACCGCCCCCTCTGAGGAC